CAGGCCACATGAGGGTGATGAGTGCTTAAACTTTAATGCCCTGTCATACACCCACAACTCAACAAACTGTACAATGTTATGAACATCAATCGTACAAAGGGATGTTTTCTGTATTAAAGACAAGTAAAATTCAGAAACATAATTTTAAATTAAACAAGACCTAAAAAAAGTTTTTCATATAAATCATTTATATGTATTTTTTTAAATTCTATTTTTTTAATTTTATATTAAGATTCTAATGTTCCACCGGCTTTTACACAGCATAATTATTCAGACCTGTTTACCCTCAAGCTCTTAAAATCGTACAATATCATCACAAAATCGTTCAATACATTATCTTAATAGTAAAAAAAATAAACATTCAGTAGATATAATGTATACACCTCAAAATCGTACATTGTACGCCAAAATCGTTAGAGTAAACAGGTCTGTTTATTTCATCATTTCAGAAAGAAAAAAAGAAAATATTACGCATCAAACGCACTTGCAATAATTTTAGGAATCTCATTTAGTGCAGTTACTAGGAATTTTATGTCGTGAAATTAGTGGCATCATACATCATATTGCTTTCATCTTCCCTTTGAAAAACGGGTTGGGGGGGGGGGGATTTGAAGGAATATGTTATGTTGTCATCGGCAACGAATATATATGCCAAATTTCAGCTCAATAGGTTGATGGGAAGTGGATCAATTAGCCTTCCGAAGATTTTGCCACATACCCGGCCAGAAAGCAAATACACAAACAAAAGTGAAGTTAATTTTTAAAAAGGTCCTCTTCTTCTTATATTTTGAGGGCCCACAATCAATGTGTTGATCATTTTGGCTCCGGTTGGAATTCAGAGTTTGCCTTCTCTTAGATGAGCTGCCATCCAAGGCTGAGTCCCATCCACCCGGAGTGCCGAGTCCCATCCACCCGGGGTGCCGAGTCCCATCCACCCGGGGTGCCGAGTCCCCTCCACCCGGGGTGCCGAGTCCCATCCACCCGGGGTGCCGAGTCCCATCCCCCCGGGGTGCCGAGTCCCATCCACCCGGGGTGCCGAGTCCCATCCACCCGGGGTGCCGAGTCCCATCCACCCGGGGTGCTTGGGATGTTGGGTGCTTGGGATGTTGGGTGCTTGGGATGTTGGGTGCTTGGGATGTTGGGTGCTTGGGATGTTGGCGTTGGTGGGGATTGAACTTCTAGACAACCTTTTTGGGAGGGCAACCTTTTTCCAAAATAGACACAGTTGTGGCGAATGATAAGTAAAATTTGCCACACCATATAAATCATAAAACACTACTATCAAATAGAATGAATCGAAGAAATAGGCTGTTGAATAATATTTTAACCACCGAAGGTAACACTCCTGCGCGTTTAAATGTATGTGGGAAGGGAGAGGCTGAGGTGTAACCAGCTATTTGGTTTGAGACAGTTTAGACCGCTCGGCCACCCAGCACCCCCTTCCTTTAGAACAGATCAGGTGGGATGTGAGAATCGTTTGTGTCCCGGTACAGGATAATGCTAGGTAAAATAAGATATTCCATGGGGGTCTGTTTGATCACGTGTAATAGAATGTGAGAATCGTTTGCGTTCAGGATAATGCTAGGTACAATAAGATATTCCATGGGGGCCTGCATGATCACTTGTAATGAACCATAATTTAAGTCAAATGTCACTCATCAGTACTCTTTCAATTATTAGTCAAAAGGAGTTAACAACCTAAAAAGTTTGAAGACAACTGTGCTATGAAACCACCATGACTTGCTGGTAATGAATCATGAAAATGTCAAAATGGGATGAGCTGTGTATAGTTGTACAAGGAAATGCCTTTCAAGGCGCCACAGATCCTTAATATATAGCAGTGTGCTTTCTGTGCATTTCTGATTATTGTATAAAAAGCAATGTTTTAACACAAAATTTGCATGTCATCGTAACCATGAATGGCAGTGGGCAGGGACTGAACGTATAATCATATTCATTACTGGATGCAGCATCTCATAAAAATATATGATATAAATAACAAGCTTAAAGCAGTTGTTATAAACCCATAAAAAAAAGTCACAAGTCATAAATATAAATATATAAACTTATAAATCACTTAATATTATAATCAAATGTTACAAGTTACCCATGATCACTGCAATTCTAACATTCTTATAATCCTGTCTCTCAATTAAAGCGGACATAATTCTGGATGTTTCAGGAACACGCTGGTTTGCTTGATAATCACATCAAGTTGTATATTTCATAGTCATTTTTATCTCTTATAAAATTAAATTCATATGTTTAATCATTTTGTTTAGTATTATAATAAAGAATTATATAAAAGACATGAGCTGATATGATGGCATAATGTCAATGAGATAATGCTATTTTAAGGAAACTAAACATTTTATTGAAGTTATTTCAAAGAACTATTTTAAATAATAGAAATAATTTGTATAAACACCTGAAGATTTTATTACAGTACAGCATAGTTACACCCTTTTTAATTACGGGTACAGTACAGCTTAGTTATACCTTATTTTATTAAAGTACAGCTTAGTTACAACTGATGAATATTAACACATATATACTTCAAGTTGTATGTCCTAAGATTGCAAATATCAAACTGTTCCAGCAATTAACCTGTACACACACTGAGGGTAAATAGACAAAAATAACAATTCAATGTTATAACATCACTGCAAGTTGTTATTAGTGGGAATGTACACACACTGATGGTAAATGAGACAAAAGTGACAACTAACCATCAAAATTAATTACCATTTTAAAAAATCTAATTTATTGAATGATACATTTTTTGTTGTTACTAGGTTAAAAACAATGTCACATCAACAAAAGAGATGATGATAAGGAATTTATTTCACAACTTCATTAGAAAGTTATTGAGATTAAAATGTACATACCCAACTGATTCCCATTATAAAGAGAGTTAATAAAAATGTTACTTAGACTGAGTATTTTTTTAAATATTAAAATTAATTATTTAATTAGACAATACATTTTCTTACATCAACAAAATCAAATTCATGGCTAAAATAATTTTTTTTAAAAATATTGCAATTCAAGTTTTTATATTAATCATTGATAAAAAAGAAGAAGGTGCAGATCTTGATTTTATAGTAATGAATTCTTCACAAATGTTAGTGTGTGAATGTGTCGCTGAATCTCACTTGGGCTAGAAGGCTGGGGCATTTTCACAGAATCTATCAATTTGAGTTGAAAGGCTTCGATACGTTTCAGCTCACTGAATCTTTTTCTCAACATCCCTGCTGTCGGTCGACTTTTGGTAGGGATGATGAAAGTCTTTATAATGAGCTGATCAAGCAACTGAAAAGTAGAAACCCGAAGGCAGTCACTAGACATCAATTTGGAGTAGGTCTTGTCAAATGATAAATGAACTTGGTGCGCAGGCCGTGCCAAAAACTTTTAGTTACCAGAAGTTGAGTATGAACAATGGAGAAATAGATTAAAACATATAACCCAGTTTCACTTTCTTGTAAAATAAATCTAAAAGCATCTGTAATTCATTGACAGATTTCACTACACCGGTATACATATATATATACATATATATATATATATATTATTTGAAAATCACGCTTCATCCTCAAAGGCTCGAAGCTCGGTACATACCAAACTGAAGTACAAAATGCAACATTACAAAAACAACCCATTCTAAGTCTTTCATACCTTACAACCATAAACAACACAGGCCAATATACATCTACAAGATAATAGCTAGATAGACAACATCACCCGAGCAGGTGTTTGCAAAATAGATAAGTCTTCAAATCAGTTTTGAAAGAATCCAGTGTCTGACTGTTTCTGAGAGCGACAGGAAGGGTGTTCCACATTGTTGGGCCAGCAAATGCGAAAGTGCACCCCTTGTAAGTCTCAAGGCGAAAACGTATCGAGAGTCTACCACTATCAGATGAGCGGAGTTGTCTAGTGGGTAAATAAGGCATCAGTAGCGCTTTGAAATAGGACGGTGCCATGTCATGCAAGCAGCGGTAGCACAGAGTTGCAATTTTGTACTCTATGCGAGAGCGGACCGGCAGCCCATGCAACTCTCTCATAACTATTTTAGCATGGTTGAATTTGTGTTTTCGAATAACAATGCGAGCCGCATTATTCTGTGCTTTTTTAATTTTATCCAGAAGCGTACCTGGAAGACCCACCATAAGAGCATTGCAGTAGTCCATGCGTGATAGCACAAATGCAGAGATCAGCCTCTTTGATGCATCTAACGTTAAGAAAGGTCTGATATGACTAATTCTGTGCAGCTCTAGAAAAATCGTCTTGCAAAGCATGTTAATGTGATTTTCCATAGCTAGTGTTCTGTGTAAGTAGACACCCAGGTTTCGCACTTTTTGAGCAAACTCAATCTGTATACCTGAGAGAGTAAGGGTCTGTGTGTTATTTATATATTTTAGCTTTTGAGTGGTAGCAATGGGGATCAGCTCGGTCTTTTCATTGTTCAATTTAAGCTTGTTTATAATCTTCCAGTGCTTAACTGACTCCTCTGTCTTCTGTGTCATACTAAGAAGCTGAGGGAACTGAGAGGGGATCACAGATATCTGAAGTTGGGTATCATCCGCGAACATGTGATATAGCATATCAAACTGCTTGATCACTGCACCCAGGGGCTGAACGTACATAGTGAAAAGCACTGGGCCTAGGACCGAGCCCTGGGGTACTCCGAATTCGATGATAGATTGCTTTGAGGTCAAGCCGTTTGCAATAACTGATTCTACCCGATTTGTCGGATACTAGCGGTACCATTTCAGGAAGGTATCGGTGAAACCAAACGTATTTTCCAGACGTTAAAGAAATATGCCATGGTCAAGCATATGGAACGCAACAGATAAATCAAGTAACGACAAAAGCGATATCTTGCCCTCGCCACACACACACATAATGCTTTACAATGTGGCCAAGAGGATTATTTCCATCAGTAAAATTACTAAATCTTAATAATGAACAAAATCATGAGTAGATACATAATTTTAGAAAGCAGTGACCTTAAATAATGTAAGATTTTACCTTGGGTATTCCTAGACTAGATAATGTTGCCAGTAAGTCCCAAGCATCATCCAGTTCAATATACATGATGTTAGTGGAGAATGTTGATAAATTTTCCTGAATAGTTGATATATGTTCAGGCTCGTGGGTTTGTTTAGTGACACCATCCTTGGAACTGGAAATTAAAGAATGGAAAAATAGGCTAAGGAAATTAAAATTAAATATCTTTGATCACTTGTTCCAAATACTTTTTACTTTTCCAAACTTTCCCCCCGCCCCCCTTCTTATGAAGCTAGATATTAAAATAATTTGATAGTAGAAAATAACTTAAGAAGAAGAACAAGATATTTCTTACCCTATTTGTAGGCGGTTAAACCGGGGTGATGATGAAGATGATGTGAGAGGATTGATAGCAAAAAGTTTAATATCACAGACAGGATTTTCAATACTGGCTTCATATGCAAACTCATTGTACTGGACATCTCTGAAAGAGTAAACAAGAATGAATTTAATTAATAAATTTAAATATCAATGACCTAATTACCAGTACTAAAGTTTAAAGATAGAAACTCAACCATAATAGTATCTTTATAAATGAATGTTCACATTTTTCAAATTTAAGAAAGATATTTAGTCGGACTCCGCATATCTATTTTTAAAAATGTTCACATAAAAAAAAATTAAATCAGATAAAAATAAATAATTAACAACCAGAAATTTGAGTAATCTAATGCTTTACCTGAGATGATCATCATGATTTATAAAACACACTATCTTAAAAAGCACTTAAATCCCACCAAGTTAGATCAGTTGTTGACTCACAGTAAAAAAGTGATCTGACAAGAATGGGTACTGCTATGGTGTTTGAGAACACTTTTAAAAATCTTCACAGACAGTTCATCTTGTCTTTGATGTAAGTGGGACAGTGACACCAGTTGGAGCCTGACAGGCAGAGTCTGCACGTCCTTGAAAGTAACATCGAGAAAACTGGTGACACGCTCCATTTCATTGTGTAAAGAACCTGAAGAATAGAAAACCTGAATGGAGAAATTGAGAATGCCAGCCTTCCATTCCTGTGGCAGTACAGTCCGTGCAGCCAGCCTTACAAGTAGGAAATAAAATTAGAAAATAAGCTGAAATAATGACATTATTATAAGTAGTTTTATATAGCTCGGTACCCCAGTCTAGGGCTGGTCTCACTGCACTGTTCATCAAATTTTACAATTTAATGAAAATAAAAAACAATTGTATAAAAAAAAACAATGAATATTCACTCCACCCATTCCAGAACTGTTTACATGTCAAGCTATGGATGGCACCTAGCAGCATCGTTTATTGGTCAGAGGGGGGGATCAGTCAGGATAGTAGAGTTTTAAAAGATGTGTTTTGAGTGCAGTTTTGAAGGCCTGGATGCTCTGTATATTGCTGATGTGTAGTGGAAGAGAATTCCATTGTTTGGGGGCAGAGAAAGAGAAAGATTGTTCACCGTATATTTTTGTACGTGTCTTGGGAACAGAAAGAATATGTGTGTCTGCGGAGGAGCGAAGCTGTCGAAGGGGAGAAGATCGGTTCGATAGGAAGGGGAGAAATTCAAGAAAAAAATGTGTCAGAGAACAGAGAGTTTGTAGTCAATCCCTACTTGTACAGGGAGCCAATGAAGTGAATGAAGAAGTGGTGTGATGTGATCACGTTGTATCAGTTGATTGGAGTCTGGAGAACATTTTTCCTGTTGTTTCTTTGCATTAGAAACTTTTAGTTGTATTAAATTACTCCCGTACATAATTATGTTCCATCAGGGTTAAGTTAAATAAAATCTATTTATAAACATGCCTGAAGATTTAAGAACTTAATGTATTCTTATGATTTTACAAGGTTCAAAGAACACTGACCATCAATGGCAGGTGGGTACATAACAAATGTATGTGGTGGCAGCAGCTGCACAAATGACAGGTAGTACTTGCAGGATTCCATCATGGTGTCTTGGAGACAGAGCGGCTCTGAAGTTGCCGTATGGTACAGGCGAAATCCTGCAGTGTGGAAGAGGGCATACAGCACACGGTACCAGCTGTAAATGTAGTCTTCATCAAGTTTATCTAAGAATTTGGAAGTTAAAAACAATTCATTCCATTAGAATTGTTTAAATTTTATGTTATCTTGAATTTAAAAACAATTTTTTTTCAAAAATTTAACATAAGTATAAATGGATATTTATGACAGTAAATTAAAGAGATTTCTCAGTATTGGTACTTTTATAAGATCTTTTTTTTTTAAACTTCCCAACACATACCTAGATTTATCACTAGATGTAATTCTTTCACATTAGTAAGGACACCATCCTCAATTAGGAAATGTAGGACTTCATGAGCAAGCACTGATTCAAGAAGTGTATCTATTTTTAGAATGTCTATCTTCTTATGCTTCAAATGCACCATTACAGAATTCAAGGTTTGTGTTTCAAAAGAATTCCTTGCAAAGTCTGCTGGGTCATTGGGTACAATAGTTGTCTTGAAGATGGCATTTGAATCGGGATTTGCTTTCACAAGGAAGCTCAGCTTGTTAGCCAAATGTGAAAAAATATAAAGGCGGCTGGAGAGATTCTTACTGACAAAATACTCAAAGTTATAATCTGCACTGGGTCTGAAAGTATAGATAAGAAATATCACATTTTAAACATGAGAAATAATGAACATGAGCTATTTATTAGTATTATGTGAATTTTAGGTGTTGATTAAATGTGTTAAATACTTTTTGTTTACATGATAAAATCTAAAACATACGGTGAACGATCTTTCTCTTTCTGCGCCCCCAAACAATGGAATTCTTTGCCACTACACATACGCAATATACCAACCACCCAGGCCTTCAAAACTGCACTAAAAACATATCTTTTTAAATTATACTACCCTGACTGATTCCCCTCCTCTGACCGATAAACGATCTTGCTAGCTGCCATCCATGGTTTGCCTTGTAAAAGTTATGTGGTGGGGTGGGTGAATATACATTGCTTTATTTCATAAATGTATTTTATTTTAATGTCATGATTATGTCTCTTTTGATAAAATTTTTATGTACAGCGTGGTGAGCCCAGCCCTAGGCTGGGGTACCGCACTATATAAAGACCCCTTATTATTATTAAATAAAATGTACAAGGTATTTTGAAGCTTGAAATGCTACACAACAAACCAATAAAAAAGTTGACTAAAATTATTTTACGCGAAAAAATAAATGGACATTCACATCATTTATGCTTTTTACCACGCCCGGGGCATAGGCCATCTACAAGAGTTTTCCATTCATAGGGGTCCTTTGCTTTCCTTTTCAGTTGCTTCCAGGTGTACCCCATACTTTGGTGTCTGCCTCTAGATCGTGTCTCCATGTATTCAATGGCCTTCCTCTCTTCCTTTTCCCCTGCGGGTTCCATGATAGGAATTGTCTCGTGATGTTATCTGGGGCTTTACAAAGAGTTTGCCCAATTCATCTACATCTTTTCTCTGTGAAGTTTGGTATAGCAATAGGATCTTGTTATGTTCTCTCCAGTTAGTCTTTGTTGGTGGTGATGTTTTGCAATTTGATTTTCAGAATCTTTCTAAGACAAGTGTTTGTGAAGGTCTGTACTTTCTGCATAGCGCTCTACTTGTCCCTTTTTGTTTGCAGAGTATGGCCTATAGTCAACTTGTTAGTTGGTTTAATGTATCTGATTTCAAGCTTTATGTATGCTGAACTTGTATATTTCTTTAAAAAACATGATCTCATTGACTGGATAAATTAAGTATTTGAATAAATATAGCATGTGACTCTTAAAATAAGTTAGTATTTTTTAAAGACAAATAAAAATACAATAGTATCATGAATTACATTACCCTATGGAGTAGATCAAAGGCACTTTATCATCTTTTTCTTGATCTGAGAATCTCAGACCAAATTCTGAATCTAGACAAAGTATCCACATAGAATTATTATTTGTTGCCACAGAATTGTTACAGTGAACCTGAACCTGCCCCATAAACCTCATCAGTCTTGATGCTTCATTTTCAACACTGGATAGGAGCTGAAGTGGGCTGTAGTCATGATGGAGATACATTAGCTGTACCCCTGCATAGATAACAATGATGCAGCAAAGAGCGGACAAAAGGCTGCGTTTACGCTTTTTAAGCGAATACTGCATGAATGAGCTGAAAGGGCCCATCGCTTGGGTTAAATAATCACAGCTGTGATCCCATTCTGCATTCTTTGGCGCAGAGCTTGTTTATAATTTCTTTAACTTCCGTGTCTGCCAAAGGCAACATTCTCTTTCTTTTATAAATTTCTTGCACTGCTTTCAATTTCTGTAGTATGATCTGCAAAAAAATTACAGATAATGATTATAACTCAATAATAATTTATAACAATGAAATTAATAGTAAATAGAGTTCAGGCTATTATGTATGTTTGAAAGAGGGGGCAACAAACTCATGGCACATCCCTGGGAGTCACAAAGTCTACTTCACTGTATGGAGATTTTAAAAAGTTTATATTTATATGATTCCCTTATACAAATCCAATCACCAAAGACTAAGACAACCACTTCCCTCAGAGGGAAGATAGGTTTTTGACTGTCTGGCTGAGGGCTTACAGTACAGTACTTACACTGTCTTAAAGGTTGGTTTCTTATCTGAACCCAAATATACACGAGACCCCAATTATATGCATCCATTGACTAGTTTTGATGATATCCTATGGCCACAGTAGAAATATAAAAATTATTGGTAGGCCTTAACTTAGCTTAAAGACTTTTGTTTGTTTTAATTTTCATCATCATCATCATCGCCTGTCGTCCCGTCTGGGGCATAGGCCACAAACAAAGGCTCTCCAGGCATCCCGGTCTTGGGCAAGTCTCTCCAACTGTCCCCAGTTGTGCCCACTCTTTTTGATGTCTGCCTCCAGTTCCCTTCTCCAAGTTGTTTTGGGTCGACCTCTTTTTCTCTTACCCTGGGGGTTCCAAGTCAGGGCTTGTCTCGTGATACTTGATGCGGGCTTTCTGAGGGTGTGGCCAATCCATCTCCATCTGCGCTGGCAGATTAACTCTTCCACTGGTTCTTGTTGTGTGCGCCGCCAGAGATCCTCGTTGGTGATGACGGTGGGCCAGCGGATTCGTAAAATCGTTCGGAGACATGAGTTGATAAAGGTCTGTAGCTTTTTTG